ATTTCAGAATTCTAATAAAGAACGAGACCTGGGGTGGTTTTGGATAGTAAACAGACACCAGAGGAACACATAAGAACATTGTGAGGAGCGTATTCGTCGCTTTCCAACTTGAGACTTGCTGTTAATTATATGGATGATGAAATACTAAAAAAAAACTGTTCATAACTTTTGTGAGACCAAAATTGGAATATGCAGCAGTTGTATGGTGCCCAAATCTCAAGAAGCACACAAATGGCTTCAGGAAGTGAAAAACATGAGTTACGAGGAGAGACTAGAGGCGTTAAACATGCCAAAAATAGAAGATAGAAGAGAGTTAATATGATCACCACTCACAAAATACTAACAGGAATAAACCAAATTGAAAAAAAATCCTAAAACCAGCAACTCCACGAACAAGAGGACACAAATTCAAGCTAAGGAAAAAAAGGTGGCGAAATATTAGAAAATTTTCTTTTGCGAATAGAGTGGTAGACGCCTGGCACAACTACGGGCTCACCATAGCCAGTGCTACTCGGAACTTTTCTTCCTAGTATCTGAATCTAAAACAACAACAGATTGGAACAAGCTAAGTCAGGTGGTGGAGGCCAAAACCGTCAGTAATTTCAAAGAGTTACATGACAAAGAGTACTGGGAAGACGGGACACCACGAGCGTAGCTCTCATCCTGTAACTACACTTAGGTAATTACACTTAGGTAATTACACTTAGGTAATTACACACACACACACACACACACACACACACACACACACACACACACACACACGAGAACAAATCATGATTCGTCATGATATAAATTTCAAGAGTTAATTTCAGCTTCATCCTGTTACTGACTAAAACTTAGCTCTAAATAAAGCTGGTCACGAATCGAAACTAACAATTATCTCATCAAATAAATGACTCCCAAGATTCATGCTTCACAGGAGCTGGTGCAGAATCAGAGCCCCAGAGCCCTAGTTTCACTAAGAACATATCACTCTTATTCTCATTTAGAAAGAACATAAAACAAAGACACTTGTTCCCTTCCGAGAATATCCACAACTGAACAACAATCTCTAATAATTATGTTCTATTTTGATAATGTCCCGAACAAAATGCGAGAGATTAATACTGAAACTAAACCAAACACAATGGGAAAAAATGTGTCATCCAGGTCCAGTCACCTACTTCAGAACAAGAAGGGCATGCACGAGGCAACACTCGCTCCTGATTGGCAGAGCGAAAATGGAAGAGCAGTGTGACGTCACAAGCTAATATTTACATTTGTTTGAGTTAAATAATCCGTTGCCGCAGGAAAGTGAGGGAAGGAGGAAGGGGGGGGGGGACATATCGACGTGTGCCAGCACCTTCACGAACCAACCGCCATCACCACTATCACCATCATTACCAGCATCACCATCACCACTAGTTACATCACAACCACCACTATCATTATCATGTACCAACCACCAGCACCATCAGGGCCCCCATCCACCAGTACCGTCACCATCAGTACCATCACCACCAGCATCATCATTATTACCATCACCACCACCACCAGCACCAACCACCATCACTGTCGCCAGCAGCACCATCAACCACTAGCACCACACAAATTCATTCACCTTCATTCATCTTTCCCTTCCATTATGTATTATAAGCAACACTTTCCTGGAGCGCTCATATTCCCCGGCTCCACTCTCCTATATCACGCACTTACCAGCGAGAGCGGGAGGGGAGGGAGGGACGTAGGAGTGACGTCACAGAGCGAGGGCGGGGCTAGGAGAATGACGTCACCGAGCGAGGTCGGGGCTAGGAGAATGACGTCACAGAGCGAGGGCGGGGCTAGGAGAATGACGTCAGAAAGATTTAGGCAATGGGACCTGGGAAAAAGCCAAACATCTTGGCCTCACCCAGGCATGGCGTCAGGAAAGTGGGCGGAGTCTAGCTATGACGTCATGAAAGTTAGCGGGGCTTGAGTCATGACGTCAGGAAAGTGGGCCGGGTTTAGCCACGTCAGCAATGTGGGGCGGGGTTTAGAAGTTACGTCACATCTTGGAGATTGGGGGAGGACTCTGATTGGTAGGTGGAGTCCATGACATTAAAAACCGTCTCCACGGCAAGATATCCTTGAGAAACGCACAGCCAGAGATAAAAATGAACGCTAGCCTGTTTTTATCACCTCTCCTTTACCAGTAAAATTATAATGTTGAGTATTAAATTCGAACACATTCTCAAGATCGTGGTGTTGAAGTGTAGGGTTCTAAGCGTGCCTATTAACATGTCTTTCCAATAAAAATTTAATACATGTACAAATAATTTAAATCACATAAATTACAATTTAAAACGCATAAATAATAATTTAAAACGCGGAAATAATAATTTAAAACTAGGAAATAATAATTTAAAACGCGGAAATAATCATTTAAAACGCGAAAATAATAATTTATAATAATATATAATAATATAGATAGATATAATATATAATAATATAGATAGAAATAATATATAATAATATAGATATAAATAATATATAATAATATTTAATAGAAAATAATAACACGTAAAAACTGTTAACTTGAAAAATCTACGACAAGTTATATCAAATGATTTTTTCCATTTAACGGACAAGAATAAAATAATTTGTTAAAAAATTTTGATTCGCATATTTTAACTTTAAAACAATACTTCTTAGCTTTGTTATGTTCAACTTAAACTGAAAAATTCCCCGAACCTGTTCATCTTGAGGTGAGACTGCATATGTGCACTCCCCTCCCCCCTTCACCTACTTAACATTTAATAATGGGTCGGGAGAGTGTCGCGCAGAAGAGTTAGGGGAGACATGATTACCACATACAAAATTCTCAGTGGAAATTGACAGGATAGATAAGACATTATTTACCACGGGTGGTACTAGCACATAAGGACATAGGTGTAAACTTAGTACCCAAATGGGCCACAGAGACATCATAAATAATTTTATCAGTGTCAGTAGTTACTAAATGGAATGCATTAGGCAGTGTTGTGGTGGAGGCTGACTCCATACACAGATTCAAATGTAGATATGATAGAGCCCAGTAGGCTCAGGGACCTGTACATCAGTTGACTGACAGTTGAGAGGCGGGACCAAACAACCGAAGCTCAACCCCCCGCAAACACAATTATGTGAGTACACACACACACACACACACAGCATCATCACCCACATTACCTACACAACACCAAGCCATGTGTATATTTTCCATGTGTATCTTAATACACATGGAAATATATTCCCCATATACATGCACAACGGCTCTACGAATATACTCATTACGATAGTACAAGAAATTCCGAGAGATTTTTTCTGTGTATATCCTTGCCACAGACATGGTCATTCATTTATACAATGATATAAAGCAACATATATACAATATATATACATTTTCTCCTCTCCTCCATAGACATCAAGAGCTGAGAGTTATTAAGCACTCAAATACAGAATGTGATTGAAAGTGTTTTTACTCACAGTCACACACATATATTTGTTCGAGGCTTAGAGCACTGAGGCGGTTAGATATCTGTAGCCATATTCACGAAGCAGTTACGCAAACACTTACGAACCTGGGGCCAGATTCACGAAGCAGTTACGCAAGCACTTACGAACCTGTGGCCAGATTCACGAAGCAGTTACGCAAGCACTTACGAACTTGTGGCCACATTCACGAAGCAGTTACGCAAGCACTTACGAACTTGTGGCCAGATTCACGAAGCAGTTACGCAAGCACTTACGAACCTGTGGCCAGATTCACGAAGCAGTTACGCAAGCACTTACGAACCTGGGACCAGATTCACGAAGCAGTTACGCAAGCACTTACGAACCTGTCAATCTTTTCTCAATCTTTGGCGGCTTTGTTTACAATTATTAAACAGTTAATGAGCTACAAAACACCAGAAGGCTGTTTATAACAGTAACAACAGTTGATTGGAAAGTTTTCATGCTTGAAAACTGTTTAATTAATGTAACCAAAGCCGTCAAAGATTGAGGAAAGATGTACAGGTTCGTAAGTTCATAGGGAGGGGAAGAGGAGGGGGGTGGACCCAGACATAAGCCACACCACTAACTTTATCAATATTACAGCTCCCCGGGGCGTCCTGACCTCCATCACTAATACAACAAAAATACAAGGACTCGAAATCTGCAACAAATACATCTTAATACAAGATCCCATTTTCTAATAACAAATTAGCTCCGTCTTGACCAGTGTGTAGTGAGAGTGAGCGTCTTGTGTCTAACTCCCACAGTCCTAAGTGTTCCAGTCTCTCCTACGAGAAAATGGAACATTCTTATAAGTGAAACAGGGCCTGACGGCTGAGTGGACAGCACTCGGGATTCGTAGTTCTGAGGTTCCGGGTTCGATCCCCGGTGGAGGCGGAAACAAATGGGCAGAGTTTCTTTCATGCTGATGCTCCTGTTCATCTAGCAGTAAATAGGTACCTGGGAGTTAGACAGCTGCTACGGGCTGCTTCCTGTGGGGTGGGGTGTAACCAAAAGGAGGCCTGGTCGAGGACCGGGCCGCGGGGACGCTAAGCCCCAAAATCATCTCAAGATAACTTTTCAGATGTTAGAAGTACGTCGAGGAATATGTTAATACATTACCCAAGCCAGGCCCTTCTCTTGATTTGCCTCAACGAACAGAACAAGGGGTGGCCTGCGGGCCGCTGCAAGCAACAGCCTGGTGGATCAAACTCTCACATGTCAAGCCTGGCCTCGGGCGGGACTTGGGGAGTAGAAGAACTCCCAGAACCCCATCAGGCAGGTATCAACCAGGGTACCAAAACACACACAAACCCAAGCCACCCACCTAACCCACGCCACCCACCTAACCCAACCAAACATAATCTAGCCAACCTACGTATTTCAAAACGAGGATATTTGGAAGCCGCCATTTTGCATAGTGCCCTGTATTTCGTACGTTGTGGGTCAAAACGTACAAAACGAGGTGCATTAGCGTGTGGAGATGGGTCAATGGCAGCGCTTACGGCCAATAGTTTCCTTGTGAAAGTTTTAGGAATTCACATGAAATTAGCATAAACGCGTCGCTGGCACCAGCCTGAACCACAGCACTACCCTGGTCCAGCTCGTGGTCCAGCTCGTGGTCCAGCTGGTGGTCCAGCTCGTGGTCCAGCTCGCGGTCCAGCTGGTGGTCCAGCTGGTGGTCCAGCTGGTGGTCCAGCTCGTGGTCCAGCTCGTGGTCCAGCTCGTGGTCCAGCTCGTGGTCCAGCTCGTGGTCCAGCTCGTGGTCCAGCTGGTGGTCCAGCTCGTGGTCCAGCTCGTGGTCCAGCTCGTGGTCCAGCTCGTGGTCCAGCTCGTGGTCCATGCAGCTGCACAAGACTCAAGTCTACCATGCAGCCGAGGCTCGCATTACCAGGGACACGATCCGTCAAACAGCTACGAAACCTTTACATCTATCCTCAATCATGGAGACTTAATTTGCATTTATGAATCAACTGATGAACTCCGAAGCGCTACAAAGGTGTCCATACCGATAATACTCTGCCTAATGTCGCGTTGTTGTTGTTTTAGATATTGCTACTCAGAACGAAATATCCATGTAGCAAGGGCTAAGGCGAGCCCGTAAGAGCAATGTCGCGGCGCGTAGACTGTTTAATACAGACTGAACCACCACTGTCGAGGACAGATGTACAGGTTTCGTAAAGGGTCATGCTCAACCCTCAGGCTACCATTATTCAGTCTCGTCACGAGACTTCTCTCAAACTATTTGCTTCTTCACTGACCTCTTATGCCCAACCACTTGGGCTGGACGGTAGAGCGACGGTCTCGCTTCATGCAGGTCACCGTTCAATCCCCGACCGTCCAAGTGGTTGGGCATCATTCCTTCCCCCTGCTTGATACCTGCTTGATGGGGTACTGGGAGTTCTTCTACTCCCCAAGCCCGGCCCGAGGCCAGGCTTGACTTGTGAGAGCTTGGTCCACCAGGCTGTTGTTTTGGCGGCCCGCAGGCCCACATATCCTCCACAGCCCGGTTGGTTCGGCACTCCTTGAAGAAAACTATCGAGTTTTCTCCTGAAGATGTCTTCTCTTGATGATTTTCTCTTGTTTTCATTTGAAAAGTTTTCAAGAAAGTTTTTTCAAGAAAGTTTCTAGAAAGAAAGTTTTCTATCGAAAGCGTTTTCTCTTGAAGATCTGATTAATACCAGACCGTAATCTGGTACACCAGTGAGGAGAGGGGGAGGGACGCAAGATTTTACCGTCTATGCCATGACAGTAAAGTTATAGCTGATAGAATAATTCTAATTCTAACCCGTCTGAATATCTATAGAAAACTTCAAACCATTGTTCCGGCAATAGTTCTTGTATCTGGAGGCTGCTAGGTTGAATGGTCGTTGACCTGTGCAGACGAGGAGTCACAATAACGTGGCTGAAATATGTTGACCAAACCACACACTAGAAAGTGAAGGGACGACGACGTTTCGGTCCGTCATTCCGAAACCATTATTGACCATTCTCAAGTTAATTGTAACTATCAGAGGTCATTGACCTCTGATAGTCACGGTGTTCTCTGAGTGTGCTGCAACTGCGCCTCTGATCTACACACACTCTATCAGGTAATCATCTTCCAGTAATTATTATTTCATCGTGACTATTACACCCAGTCCTTCCAGCACCTTGTGTATGTGATGCCTCCTTTTTGTCCTTTGTTTACACAAGTGGGTACAGGAACGGACCGCTCGTGACTCCTGTTAGCAGGCTGAGAGAAGGTTGGTATACCTTCAGGTAGGACGGTAGAGAAGGTATACCTTAAGGTAGGTATACCTTAAGGTAGGACCGTTCAGAAGGTATACTCTTCCCATTGCTCATGGTAAGCCTTACCCACTAAAATCTGTGGGTTCCAGGGCCTAGAGATAGACCCTGGAACGCAACCCGAAATCGGCTAGTAAACCAGATACCCAATTACTGCTGGATAAAAAGAGGCGAACAGTTGAGGACTGACGACCAGACAATCCACCAGTGGCCAGAAGTCGAACCTAGGGGTAATGACTCGCCGGGCGAATGTGTTACCACTGCGCCACCAGCTAATTCTCTCGTCTCCAGAGAACTTGTACTAACTTAAGAAAGTCCCAGTAACTTAAGAGTGTATTAGTGTGTTTTTTCAGATATCTGGCCAGCCAAGAAAGTGGGAGGTGATCAGAAAGGATTATTCCAAGCGAGACGGCACAACAGTTTATATAAGTAGGACTTACTAGAATGGTATCTCCCGTACATTGAGAGCTTTAGGTAGAATCCAACCCCACTCTCTCATGTCCCTGCCCGATACTACTACCTGTGCTTTGTTCAGTCAAGGTAAGGTCCTCCCAGGTCAGTGATTGGATACTCCAGGTATACTCCAGGTATACTCCGGGTATACTCCGGGTATACTCCGGGTATACTCCGGGTATACTCCAGTTATACTCCAATACGAAGGCTGTTATCGTGTGTTGGAGCACTTTACCCCCCCCCCCCCTTAGGTGTTCCCCCCTGTGGGTCTGGACGGAGGGCCATTGTGTGTGTGGCCCAAATTGGTTAATTTATTGATTAATAATTTCCCCGATTGTATAATTATGAGAACAATGTTGTTATTTAACGGAAGGTATACCTGGAGGCGTTCTTCCCCAGCTGGCGACCCCAACGTTCTTCCCCAGCTGGCGACCCCAACGTTCTTCCCCAGCTGGCGACCCCAACGTTCTTCCCCAGCTGGCGACCCCAACGTTCTTCCCCAGCTGGCAACCCCAACGTTCTTCCCCAGCTGGCGACCCCAACGTTCTTCCCCAGCCGGCGACCCCAACGTTCTTCCCCAGCTGGCGACCCCAACGTTCTTCCCCCAGCTGGTGACCCCAACGTTCTTCCCCAGCTGGCGACCCCAACGTTCTTCCCCAGCTGGCGACCCCAACGTTCTTCCCCAGCTGGTGACCCCAACGTTCTTTCCCCAGCTGGCGACCCCAACGTTCTTCCCCAGCTGGCGACCCCAACGTTCTTCCCCCAGCTGGCGACCCCAACGTTCTTCCCCAGCTGGCGACCCCAACGTTCTTCCCCAGCTGGCGACCCCAACGTTCTTCCCCAGCTGGCGACCCCAACGTTCTTCCCCCAGCTGGCGACCCCAACGTTCTTCCCCAGCTGGCGACCCCAACGTTTCTTCCCCCAGCTGGCGACCCCAACGTTCTTCCCCAGCTGGCGACCCCCAACGTTCTCCCCCAGCTGGCGACCCCAACGTTCTTCCCCCAGCTGGCGACCCCAACGTTCTTCCCCAGCTGGCGACCCCAACGTTCTTCCCCCAGCTGGCGACCCCAACGTTCTTCCCCAGCTGGCGACCCCACGTTCTCCCCCAGCTGGCGACCCCAACGTTCTTCCCCAGCTGGCGACCCCAACGTTCTTCCCCAGCTGGCGACCCCAACGTTCTCCCCCAGCTGGCGACCCCAACGTTCTTCCCCCAGCTGGCGACCCCAACGTTCTCCCCCAGCTGGCGACCCCAACGTTCTCCCCCAGCTGGCGACCCCAACGTTCTTCCCCAGCTGGCGACCCCAGCCTCGGACACTATGCCCGCATGAATGGAATTTTCTGGTAAAATATCGTTTATAATTTTTTCACGGCACCGCGTGTGATCATCCCGTCGATAACCTTACAACTTCTGTTTACACTGACGACTGACCCAGGAAACTGTTGGTTCCTCCCCAGTACGCTTACACTGTCGGATGACCCAGGAAACTACTGGTTCCTGCCCAAAACGCTTCTGAAATATGTTGACCTTAATCGCTGAGTGAATAGAGTATCGGAGCTCTGAGTACGATACCTACTCTTCCACGACCCATCTTTGTTTATAGCAAAGCACATTCCGGATAATCGGACGGAAAGGTCAAGACGCTGAACCGCCAGAAAATTACCGTACGCGGGCAGCCAGTTAAACAAAGGAACGCGAGTCAACCCCATCAACTGATGGGTATTTGGACGCTCAAGTCTTCTAAAAGTCTTACATTTCAGAGAACAAAAGAAAATAGACATGCGCATGATTTTTATAGTCGCATTCTTATCTCGCAAAAAAAAAACTACTGCATAATATCTGTAATACACTATAAACCTTTTTAATATTATCACGCG